AGCATAAATAAAAACAAAAATTCATTGGTGATTGCTGTTTCTTTGAATTTCTAACCAGCAAGTTTAAATCGCTGCTGTTACGATTTTGAACGTAGTAGGAGTTGTAGTTTTTGTCATGGAAAGTGGATTACTTTATCAGAAGATGACAGATGGCGCTCGGAAAATCTTTTCCACATTTCCAATAAGAATGGAGAGGATATTGCGTCATCCAAGGCATTGCTGTGCATGAAATTAGGTACTAACAGCTTTAAACTGAAAGGTGAAGTAGATAAAGAAGTAATTTTGGCTTTCAAAAATTTAAATAACTTCCACTCCGCTTTTGCCGGAGGCATAGAAAACTGTCCCGAGAGCTGTATGTCTTTTCTTTCGTCTAGAACTTCAACTTCTACTTTAAACTCTGTAACTTCTACTGCGTAGCAACGATATGATAATGTTGGACGAAACTGCAGTTAGCGATAAAAATTTTGGCATATTTATGTTAATTATTACAATGAAATTCTTCATTTTCTTAGCATTAAAAATTATAAAAAGTTATTTTTTCAGAGCATCTGAGTAACACATTCTAAAAACCTTTACGTAACTTTTACTTAAGTCGAAATTGTAAATACTTTAAGAGTAATTTCGCAAGGAATTGCAATTACATATATATATATATATATATATATATATATATATATATATTCAATATTATTGTAATTTACGTAACGTAAATTAAATTAATATGCAAACTCAACTAATTTAGAAGGTGAAATATTATAAAAGTCAAACTGGACTGCTGAAAACTAACCATTAAAAATTCTATTAAAATTTGTATGAACATACGTGTGGTATCTAATAAAATTATACAAAGGAAAGAGAAATGTTAAAAAAAAAATTGACAGTGGAAACGAAATGCAAAAGTTAGAATTAAATTACTGTTTATTTGCCAAAGGAGAATTGAGTTTTCAAGGAGAAATAAATTTCCATTAGCAGGTGCACAATAATTAGGCGATTATCGCGTTTCTTTACAATTGATTATTGAATATAGAAGCTCTTCGCACATTTTTTAGCCGATTTCCAAAATTTTGCTCTTAAATGTGTGTGATTGTGATAACCTTATTCTTCGATATCTTTCTATACAGCAATTTCCAAGACCAGAACTCCAACTTCCACTTTAAACTCTGTAACTTCTGCTGCGTAGCAACAATATGATATTGTTGGACTAAACTCCAACGAAACTGCAGTTAGCGATAAAAATTTTGGCATATTTGTCGTTTGTAGTATCGGAAGAGGTATTTTATCCCATTCCTCTTGAACAGCTTTCCTAAGTCCAAGGAGGGTTGGACAATTCAAGTTGGTCAATTCAATGCGATGTTAGGACAATTCACTTTTTGAAAGCCCAAAAGCGCAAAAATAAATTGGTGATCGATCAGGAGCTTTAGTTGAAATATGAGTGAAAGTTATGGCTTTGATACCCGTTTCTTGTTCCACTTTTTTGCCAGGAAATTAAAAGTGAATTTTGACTTGTTGCTGCTTGCTTTGTCTTGATACAGCTCTTCTGATTATTAGCCCTGTGGGTAAACAGATGGTATTTCGTAACTTAAAACTGGACATTAAATATGTTCCTGATAAAATGTGGAATTGATCTTAATATTTTTCTCCACGTTCATTATTTTTAATTTGCGATATATAAAAAACCAGCAACAATCATCAAGACCTTTGATAAACTATCATTAGATTCTTTGAACCGTGTTTTAAAATTCCACCCCTCCCCTCCTCTCTGGATGATAATAAATGGATCTCTTTTTATTGAATTCATTTAAATACGTCCAAAATTCATCTACTGTGACAATATTTTTTCCACTTTTATCTGGGTAAATGTTTGTCATAAAGAATTCTGCAACGCGTTCTGCGTTCGGCGATACGACGTGGAGAAAGACGATGCACATTCACATCTAGCGGCGGTCCCTGCTAGACGGGGCTTCTCTGAGAAACGAGATTCTGGTAGCACTGGTTTAAACGGGAGGATTACTAGAGAAGCGAAGTCCCGCCTAGCTACGGAAACAATGTTGCGGCTACGCGGGAGTTTTTCAAACCTCACCGAAAATGTCTCGGCTGGACCTCAGTCCCGGGTAGAGACAACCAATCAGACGAAAGTTCTGCTTCTGAAGCCTCACGTGATCAAAATCTAAGCGATAATCTGTTAGTGTTTGGCGTTCAAGTCTTTTTAGAAAGTGAAAATGGTAACCTAGCTACGTAGGTTTCCTGGAAATATGCGGGTTCGGAGAATTGTTCCTTTGGACGTCAAGTCCCTCGTAGCCGAAACATAATGTTATTGGGACTTAAGTGTTAATCCTCGTACACGTTTGAAGATGAATACAACCAGGGAAAGGGTGTAAAAGATCTGCAATATAATTTACAGACGACATGGGCTTACGTGCTTACAAATACCGACCACTTACGGTGAAAACTTAAAAGATAGGTAATACTAAATTTAAAGGTAGGAGTAGTACAAGACTACACAATTCAGTCTAAAATTAACAGGTTAACTCAGAACCTACACTAGCAGAATAATAAATCGGCGGCAAGAATGCGTAGCCGATGTTTAAAGTTAACAGCTGGAAGAATTAGCAACGTGCGCTCACAATAACGAAATATCGCTCTGTTAAACTTTTCACTCCAACAGTTTAAATACTCTCATTCACCCAAACTCATTTACATTCTGACGAAGAACTGCAAGGGGAATAAGAGAAAACAGAAAAGGCTCAATAAATTAAAATAACTATTAGTAAAAATAAATGAAATCTTAGAGAATTTTAAGAATTAGAATTAAGTGGTATAAAATTAGCATTATGATTTAAATAGTAAATAATTTTTTCCTTGTATTACATTTTTCTTTTTCATTTTAGGAAATCTATAGCCAGTTGGAAATTCTTTCATGGAAAGGTTCACCAACAAGTAAAAAACGAAAAAACGGAAATTGTTGAGTTTTAGTTTGAAAATTAAAAATCTATTATTTTGGTGCAACAAGCATAGCGCAATTACTTTAAAATTCTGAATGCACCTAGTTGTCTAATAATTTATCGATTAGTTTAAAATTTTCAGCGACAAACAATAGGTCTTTTGAGTGAAATGTGTGGCAATTACGCTATTCTTGATTTCCGAATTTTGATTGGCCATAGAGATCATCGGAGTTAACCACTGCATATTTTTATCCTTTTCGGACTGCTTGAAAGGAAAAGGCCCAATCAATACAATATTAAAAATCAAAATAAATATTCGACAAGGAATTCAAGAATCAGAACTTGGAAATTTAACAAAAAATATTAAGAATTCTCTGAATAGAGCAAGCATTCCCTGAATTAAACACTAATGAAGTTTAACAATGGCCGTCATTTGCTAAACAATATTTTTAAAAAATGTAATGTAAATACATTTATATATGCTGTATTTAATATTAAAAATACGCTAAGATAAATAATGTTGAAAGATAAATGTTGTTGACTATTTAAATTATAACATTAATTCTGCGTCCCCTATTTTCACCTAAGATAACTGTCGCCACCTATGAGAACTGCTGTATTTAGACTAAAACATGGTCGCAGCCTAAGGGAAGACACAAGCTCTAAAATATAGTAAACTTAAGTTTTTAGACTATTCTTTTTCTGCGTATCAAATTCCTGAGGCCAGTAGTCATTCCTGGCAATGAAAACTAATGCCAAATATAATAGAGCGTCTCAAAAGGTAGTTGCCAAACCTAATATGCTCGTCTGACGAAAGATGTTAAAAAAATCTTTTCATTCGCCACAACTCATGCTTCACAGCGTCGCCGCATGGATTCGCGAACCCGTTTAAAATGGACAGGTGTATCCCCCACGGTTCTGGGGACGAAATCCATGTCCGATGTTACAGTCATCTCGTACACCATAGATTTCATGTATCCTCACAGGTAGAAATCCAGAGGAGTCAGGTTGAAGGATCGCGGTGGTTATGGGACTGGTCCGCTGCCAATCCAAATCAGATCCGCCAACACTCTTTCCAAAAAATGCGATAGGTTTTCTCTTCGAGGCGTTTAGATAATAGGTAAAGGCCAATTAACGTGTCACCGATAATATCAGCCCAAACGTTTATGGTGCAACGTCATTCTTGACTTCTATGGGCAGGTGTACAACTTGGACTCTCCCGCGCCCACACGTGAACGTTGAGCAGGTTCAGGACATTGTCCCGTATAAAAGAGACTTCATCGGAAAATAAAATCCACGATGGAAAATCCGGCTGTGCGATTCGTTTGTATAATTCTCATTGCAGCTTGCCCATACTGTTTGAATGTGGTAGGGGTGTAGCGTGTCTTTCTGCAGCACGCGAATAACGGTGAAACAATGTAAAAACAAAACGCTTTCGATTTGCTCGGGAACTTTTTGTGAATTGGTCTGAGATTTCCGTAGCACAGATTCCTCTGCGACAGGTGTGTAGTGCGTTCTTGACCGATGTCGCTATTTACTTGGAAAGCTCCTACATCACGCAGTCTGCGATGCAATTGTCCGAACAAAGCACGCCATGGTTAACGTCTGTTTCGAAAGCTCTCAGAGTACATACCTATCGCGTCTTCTCCATTTCCATCCACGGCACCATACACGTCACTCCTCTCAGCCAACTCTGAGTTAGTAAACCGATTCATTCTTCTCCTGCAACGTTCTCACCTGAAATGATCACGCTTCCCTCTCTCCCATAAGCCTGCAAACATACTCCTCTAGTGTTCGCCATTCACATTTTCGGAGACAAGTTCTTATGTAAATCTTGTGTGTCGTGACGACAGACCAGCATGTTAAGTTTGGCAACCACCTTCGACGCATCATGTATTAACAATGCTATCTGTTACTGAGAACACTAACAATTTATATTACACAATAAAATCAGATATGCTTCTAAAAGCGAGAATAAAAAAGCTGAAAATATAACGTACTAACCCATAGTAGAAATCACCTTATTCACTCTGAATAGAGTTTTGTTTCTGTTCCCTAGATGACGTTGTCACGCAAGGACATAGCGAAGCAGATGTCATGTCCAAATTTCGAGACCTTCTGCGCCAGGCTCGTACTGAATTTGGAGATGTGGACATCAACCTCCTTTTATCAGATAATGTCAACGACCCTGTCCCATTGCAGGACTTCAATATTTCTAGCCCCGGCTACATGATCGATCTATTTGGAGTATTCATTGACGTAAACTTATATGGTCTGAAAAACTTTCGAGTGAATAAGATAGCTCTCAATCTTGCCAAGATGAACCTTTCCGCCGAGATGTCAGTACCACTTTTAAGTCTCATGGGCCAGTATCGTCTGAGCGGGAGCTTCTTTTTTATGACAGCATCTGGCGAAGGGCCATTCTGGATGAACATGTCCTCTATAGTGCTCAGAGCACATGCTCCAATCGAAACAACACAAGAGGGCAAGCTGGGCGTGGGAGACATTAAGCTAGATTCTGACGTGGGAGAACTTAATGTCAATTTTGAAAACCTAATGGGCGGTGATAAGGCGAGTAGCATCTACAACAGCCTTTTGAACATGATGGGTGAACTAATTTTGGATGAGCTGAAACCTTCACTTTTGTCAGAACTAAGTTCATATCTGAAATACGAGTTGAACAATGCTTTACTTGAGATACCATCAGGATTCATGGATCCCAGTTCCACCAACGTCGTAGACAGCATTCTCAAAAAGTCTGCCGAATTCATGGGGCAAAACGATCTGGAACCTTTCCGTTTGCCACAATACAAGGAGGTCTACGAGAGGAATATTTTATTCGTCACAACACGCGGGGAGTTGAAACTCTTCAATGGAACACTGCACGGCTTGTCTACCTTGTCCAGGAAAGGGGACGTTATCACGGCGTTGGCCAACAGTTCTCTCGTCTTCGAGGCTGAGTTCGAGTTCAAGAACTTGACTGGGGGTTATACGTGGCACGCTGAGCTTCTCGGGGCAGGTATGCAAGGTCAGGTCATGATACAAGTGAAATCAGTGCACGGATTCGTTAAGCTGAAACAAGAAATGAAAGTTGGAAGGAAACTGGAACTCGATGACTTACACGTTCATGCCATTCGCCATGTTTGGTTAGATTTGCAAGGCTTAGGCACATGGGACTACGTCATGGAGTCCATTGTGAACTTGGTGACCAATGGCTTGAAGCTGCAACTCGCGGATGCGTTGGTTGAACCCGTAAAACAAAGTATACAGGAACAGCTTGATCAACTTGATATTGGAATTTAATCTAAAGTAATGCAAGTGTCATGTTTCATACAGTTAAAAGAGTGCGGAAAAGGATAGAAAAGATTGTTACTTTGCAATGGATCCGTAGCAGAGGTTTATGTTCCAGTCATTCATATGTTTCTACATTTGATTAAAATCCAGAAGCAAAACTGTTAATCTTAGCAGAGTGGCTATATTTTCTCTGTAGTCTGGAATGCATATGTTATTGCAGAAATCTGCAGTGTATTAATATTAAATGTACGATAATTTTTATACATTCAGAATAATTATTTTTGAACATTTTTTTAAACAAATTAAAGGTATATATATATTTTTTTAGCTTACTTTGTACACCTGTCTACCACCACTCTTAAAACTGAAATTTAATTCAATTCCACTCACGTAGGAAGATAAAAGTTTCAAGGAGTCATAAATCCGATAAATCTTTTTTTTTAATATATTTAAATCTGGAGGCCATCTAGTTTCCAGCCTACTGAAATTTTAGATTTTTTACAATAACTAAGAATGAAAGCATTAAAGTGATTTACAGGAAAGCAAGCTATTTAATTTAAACCAGCTGCCTCTCAAGGCGTGTCATGATACATTAGTGGGCCGCGAGAAAAACAAGAGTGTACAGATAAGAGAGAAAATAGTGTACTGAGTATTATTTCGAACAAGCTTCCAGTTTTAAAAAACTTAACAAAAGATACAAAATATATAACAAGTAAAATATTTAATTTAAAAAAAAATGAAATGCACAGAAAAATTATTCTAGTTGGTGATGACCACATCCGGACCACTACTGTTCGAGTTGCTGAAAAACACATGCACAGATACTTAAGGATTTGACAATGAAATACATAACTTTATTCATTCCAAGTGCCCCTGAATACCGCGATTAGCTAGCAATTGTTTCGGGCTCAATGAAATATGGACCGCATAATTGACTTGAGTGGGAAGTCAATCGTGAAACTTGAGAGATAAACCTTTCTAGAAAGGTGGCATCATCTAATTTGCGCTGAAGAAATCAATCGCAGCCATCTTACAAAAGTAACTGAAAATTTCCAAGTCCAGCTCTTCAGTAACTTCAATAATAACTTTGTTTACAGGAACCATGCACCATCTAACTCGCGCGTGTCGCAGTTGCTACTGCTGATGTACGTGATTGTCTCTACTACGACATTTAACAAAATGTCATTTTTTATCTTAGATAGTGGTGCCATCTAGTAATCAAAATATGCAATACTACAAATTATTAAATATTTTTTAAAGTCAATGAATTCTTATATTGAACATAGGAAGATTCTTTAACTGTACTAAGATCCAGATAAGAGACAGAAACGGAAATTAAAAAAATGGGAAGAAAGACATTTTAAATAAAAATCTGATAGGTTTCAGATTTTAAATGACGTCCAAAGGGGCGTTTTTTTAACGTTTTGTGTGTTACCTCTATTTATTAAATATCATGTTCTTTGAGCTGAAAACATAAAATTCAGTTCAAAAGCAATATCGCAAAATTAATTTAATATGAGCATATCTTTAGAATTTCCGATACATAGTTCCGCGCGGTAAAAAGGTATTCCTCCCCCGTAGAGTGTTGCCATTACTCGCTCTTAAATCGTTGAGTTTGTGAATCAAAAATTCGTTAAAGTTTTACAAAATATGAAATAGATAATAAAACAAATTCCAAATGTGGGCTTCCAGATGCCCATATTCGGGTGGAAACGTAGGTTATTCGAAATTGGATAGCTTTAGATCACGCTGATTTAACCAGAATGCGAGAAATATACATACATTTATGCATATTCTTCATTATTTAATTTCTTTAAATTAGATACAGGGCTCTAATATTTGGCGGCAACAATTTGGAAAGTGAAACAGCCTTTTAAAATTTTCAACACAAAATGCCAAAACGTAAATTAGAGTCCTTCAGGGAAAATTGCAACTTTGGACTAACTGTCATAATCTACTGACAATAATATTTAAACTATAGTCGTATTCTGTTGTTAATAATTGTAGAACAATTTTCATAATCTATTCTCAATAACTGTCATAAAAATAGTCATAGAAAAATAATTACAGTTTAATGTTAATTAACAAAGTCATAGAAATAGTCATAGAAAAATAATTACAGTTTAATAAAATAGTCATAAAAAATAATTACAGTTTAATAAAATAGTCATAGAAAAATAATTACAGTTTAATAAAATAGTCATAGAAAAATAATTACAGTTTAATGCTAATTAATAAAGTCATAGAACAATACTTATTATACTTTCAATAAGCATAGTCAAAGAACTATAATCATTGTCTAGTGTCAATAAACATAGTCGTAGAAAAATAGTCAGAGCTATTATGAATATTCAAATAAAAATATCTTCACTCTTTTACAATTTTATGAAATCTCGTTTCCTACTTTTATCGAATATCCCAAACAGTGCAGTTTATAATTTTTCGGCATCTTACAGCTACTTTGAGCGAACGATTATGCCTTCAAATTTTAAGGTTCAAACCTGGGCTATCTGATGAATTTATGAAAAAGCTTCAATGGATCCAGGAAAGCAGTTTCACGAAAATTTCTTTAATTCGCTTATAGATCAAGTGGAAAAGTGAAGTAACAATTTGTACACTGCCGAAAAGAAAAATAAATAAATAAATAAATAAAATAAAAGGACTGTTCTGTATCTCCCGTTCTACTGGGCCGATTGACAAAATTCAAATTGCGTTTTTCATGTCTCGACAGTGCTACTTAGGATATATATTAGATTTATATATAACATTTTTCTAATATAGGTATTTTGACTCAAAATCTGACTTTTTCTGAAATAACATACCAATTTTTTTCCATATTTCGATTCTGCGATTCAAATTATGCCTAGATATTAATTTTTGTAATTTTTGGTGAGAAGTTTATGCAGAAATTTAAATCTTGGCGAATTTTGTAAAATTTTTAGAGAAATACAAAAGTGTATCTTGGAGCAATTTTTTCAGTTTTCGCCAAGAATAATTCAATTGGCGAACTACTTAATATACGGGAACCTATTTTCCTTTCACACTAAATTTTAGAATTATGGTATTCTAATTTAAATTTTGATAATTAAAATGGTAACCAATTTTAATTTAATATTTTTTATGTATGTACATTTAATATAGCCAATAAATTGTGCAAGTGGGGAAATATTTTTTAAAACATATTTCTATTGCGAAAGAGAAAATGTAGTGGTGGTACTAAAGTTTTTCAGTTTTTGTTTAGGTGGTACGCATTACCGCTGGTCTATATCATCTATAGTCTTTCACTATGCACTCGCAACGTATCAATAATTAAGACAAGGGTTTCGAAACGTTGTCTTCACAACAGACCAATAATGATGGCAAGCGTCTGATGTCATCTACACTCTTTCCCATTGTGGTCATAACGTGCCACTAATGACGACAAGCGTTTAAGGTCATTTATGATGAAATGGTTTGAATACACAGCCATTTACAGTTCCTTACTGAGAATGATGTCAGCCATCTACAGTAAAAGACTTTTACAGTAAAGACTGTAAATACCTGCATATTCAATATATTCCAGTCATTATGACTATCGTTTAGGACCCCTACAGCCTTCCGTGTTAAGCTCCAAACGTGCCAATAAAGAAAGCAACGACTGAGTGGTCGGTGCTTCTTCATTCCATGCTCACTACGGACCGTTCATGACAATAAGCGTCTAGGTTATCAATTGTGTCTAGGTCATATGACATCTTTCACTGTGCACTCACAAGGCGCCAGTTATGATGGCAAGGGTCTAAACCACCTATATATTTTCCCTGTGTGCTCATAACATGTCTATTATGATGGCGAGCGTCCAAAGTCCCCTGCATTTTTTTCATGTTTCGCTCGTAACATGCCGATAACGACGGCAAGCGTCTAATGTCCTTTACAGTCTTTCACTGTATTCTTACAACATGACATTGATGATGACAAGCAACTTCCATTCTGCATTGAAGCAAAATCTTCCATTCTGCATTCAAAATGCATTAATAAGGAAAGCAACGCCTGGGTGATCTATAACCATGATTCATTATCTGTTCATGACGGCCTACTTACTATTAATGACAACAAACATCCAGGTTTTCTACAGTCTTTCACTGTACTCGCAGCATGCCAAGTGCAATGGCAAACGTCTAAGTTATTTACAATTATCTCTATAGTCTTTCTCTCTGCACTCACAAAGTGCCATTAATAACAGCAGTCATCCTAGGACCCCTATTGTCTTTCAAGGATCAAGGATCAAGGAAGTTAATTTACGGAGTGCGCTAGGCTAGGCCTTTAACTCCACATCATCAGAGATAAAATAATTACATCAAAAGAGGGGTTCATCTAATAAGGGAAAATTTTGAAGCCTAATTATAAAAATAAAAGCTTTTCAGATAATGCCTTCCGCATGAGAAAAAAGGAAAACTCTTAGAAAGTCTTTAAATTAAATTTCGTGTTTAAAAAGGGCCAGGAATAAATTTTGAGAGAGGAGTCAACATTAAAAAAAAAATTGAAAACAATAAAAAGCTGCAATACATTTCCTTGATTCTTGATATCAACAGCAAAATAAAATCCTTAGGACAAGCAATCCGGAGAGTTGGGCAAAAAGGGCTGGGGGGGAACCTGTTGGGCGAGTTCTAGTAGCAGTTCAGTGTGATACAGCTGATGGAGGAGAAGAAAATTTTTGGTCGCTATTTAGTGCGACATTTAAACAAAGAATTTGTAATCCCTTACAAATTCTTTGGTTTAAAGGCCCCCTTAGGGGGGGGTCGAAAGCAACCCGTTTAGCAGGTGGAAAAGAAGCTTTTAAGAAGCTATTGAGAAATTAAGTGCAGTCGCGTCATGGAGGTAGGAAGTCGCCCTTTCCTAAGTCGCGTGCGGGTGCGGAGATAAGTTGTCCCTTGTTAAAGAAACGTTAGAAGACTCTTCTTAAAGAGTTAAAGTACAGGGTTCCTCCGGTCAATGCCCTTACGCATTGTTAACGCGGGGGCGGTTGGGGTTTAGGAACGAGAGGTAAGCATCCACTTGGGCGTCTGTATTTCAATACCAACGCCGTTTGAAAGGTAGTTGAGCATAATCAGGTTGTAAGATTGCTCTGAGTAGCTTTTTAGAAGAGACAACCGCAGGATCATATACCGGCAGGGTATGTAATACTGGATTTCCAACTAGATGGATGTTTTTGAAAAATCTTTCCGAAAGTCGCTGTATAAAGCGATTAATGGGCATAATTTTGAGGTCGTTATGAATGTCATCGTTCCTTATGAACCATGGAGCGTTTAATATCTGCCGTAAAAATTTTGATTGAAAAATTTGGAC